TGAGTTCGAGCCCCGCGTCGGGCTCTGTGCTGACAGCTCAGAGCCTGGAGCCTGTTTCGGATTCTGTGTCTCCCTCTCTCTCTGCTCCTCCCCTATTCATGCTCTGTCTCTCTCTGTCTCAAAAATAAATAAACGTTAAAAAAAATTAAAAAATAAATAAATAAATAAACATTAAAAAAAATTAAAAAAACAGAATTACTGATAAGAATTAGGAGGCAAGTCAGAGGCATTTTGAAAACGGCTGGCCTGTGTGTACCACGGCATTAGATGCTTTTCTCAGGGGAGACTACCAGGCTTATGGCCACCCTCAGCAAGATGCGCCCTGAGGACCTCACTAGGAGGGAGGCCGCTGTTTCTTCATATTAAATTATGTAATGCTCTGAGCCTCCCTTTCTTTTTTAAGCCTCTGGCTTCATGGAGTAGTAGCCTAATAGAAAATAGCACTGAATGGGGAGTTAGATCCTGGGTTCTCATGCCAGTTCTGACACCTGCTGGCTGTACAACCTTGGGTAGGACATTCTCCTTTGGAGTCATCTGCAGATATGGCAATTGGAGCTTGGTTGACCAGACCGGACAAAAAAACCACGATGCGGGGTCTGCCAGAACTGAACTCACTTGGACAATGGTTGTCAGATAGGGCCTTTTGGTGGCCAGTTGGACTCTGTCATTTCCCCCAGAGAAGAGAAGGGACCCATCCAAGGTCACACAGTTAGTTAGAGGCAGAATCAGAATAGAACCCAGATTTCCTGACTCTTAGTTCTGTGTTCTGTCCAGAACACCACATCATCTCAAAAATCCTAGAGGAAGTACGTTTTCTCTTCCTTGCATCAAAGATCTCCCAGACATGCTACTAAATGTGGTCTCCATCCTGCCCACGCATCAAAACTGCTCTGGATTAAGTAGCTAAGTCCTTCCACTCTTTGCACACAAAATTATGTTCACACCAGTGGTTTGTCTGAGACCTGAAAGAGGCAGGCTGAGAGTTGACCTTTGCCCAAAATCACTGTTTAGGAGCAAGAAAGAAACAAGATCTGTGTTCCCTAGGGTATCTCACTTTGGAGTCAAGGAACAAAAACTCTGAGATGAATCTTCAGAAATCTCTTCCCCGGTCTAATCTCATCTTCCAGGTTATTGAATCATGCAGTGAACTTAGAGGGAGGGTCCCTCATGGGGGCAAAGAAATTCTTAAAAAGGAAGTTGAGGGTCAAGAGAAAGCCTTAGGGTTAGAGCCTCTGATATCTGGTCTCCACTCAACACGCAGAGAGGGCTCTGCACGCAGGGCTAGCCTATCATGGATGAGTGGAGCTCTCATCTTCTCCAATATATCAAAAACACGACAAAACCCAAAAACCTCCCCCTGCCAGACCCCATCCCAGCCACTAGCCCCTCCACATCTGGAATGTGAACAAACAAGATTAAGTGAAAGTTGAGGTGCTAGACAAGCCCTCAACACCATGGACAGGGAAGAGATTATCATTTTTCCCTGCCTGATATCTTCCTTGGATATTCTCCAAAGCCCAGCTCAAATGCTATTTCCAAAGACCCAGTCAGACCAGCCCAAGTTCAAATCCTGGCTCCACTGCCTATTTGCTGTGTGACCTTGAACAGTGGTTTGACTTGATTAGGCCTCAGTTTCTTCCCCTGCCAATGATAGATCATGATAATAACCACTGGGTGATTGGGGGCTGAGCCAAAGTCACTCTTGCAAAGGTCCCAGCATAGTGCCTAGAAAAGAATAGGACTTTAAATGTTGAATGAATAGCAAAGGGAACCAAAGCACCCATCTCTTGAGGTCTGACCCAGCACTTTCCTCTTTAGTCACTGGCTTCTCCCCCCTTTTTGCCCCAAAGGGGCTGCAGAAGCTTGAACCATCCTGTCCTTACCTTGCTGAGGTCCCCCAAGGCCATGACCTTGGCCACTGGCCTCCTGCTGAGCTGCTCCTTCACCCATATCTCTAGTTGTTTATTCCACTTCATGGTGAACACATAGAAGGCATAGGCCAGCAGCAGCAGCAGGCTTTCCCACCAGGCAATGAGGCTGTCCAGGAAGAAGAGAATGAGCATCATCAGGTCAAGGATGTAAAAGGAGACGTCACGGAACAAGGGCCACCACGTGAGATTGAGGATCTCCCGGGAGAAGAGGGCACAGGTGCCAATGACAAAGAGGATGTTGAACACAGCAGAGCCCACGATGGTACCAATGCCCACATTGCTGTGGGAGATGAAGACGCCAATGAGGGAGGTGAAGAGCTCGGGGGCAGAGCCTCCAGCAGCCATGAAGGTGGCACCTGCCACATCATCAGAGATCTGTAGCTTATCTGTGATGACACCCAGGGCTGGGACGAAGTACTCATCACACACGATGGCCAAGGCCACAAACACATACATCATGCCAAAGATGTGCAGCACCACCCAGCCCCGTCGCCGCTCCTCTATGCTGAACAAGTCTGGGGGGTACTCTGCCTTGGAGTGAAGGTCTGGCCAGCCAGGGGGCAGCTCTGAGGGACTGGAACTGGGTGCCTCTGGGATCGCAGCTGTTGTCAGGTTGGGGGAGGAAGCAGGGGGCACAGCCGGTGCTGGCTCCACAAAAACACAGTGATGCACATGGATCTTTGGATTCACCCTGACCTTGGAGGTTGATGAGGTCCCGGGTGCTATGGAAGGTTTCTTTGCCAGCCCCCTGTAGGTAGCTGAGGATATTCCCATGGTCAATGCACTGGTCCTAGACAAAGGATCACTAACACTCCAGGTAGCAGTAGAGGCTTTGATTTCCTTTGGGCTACTGCCTGTCATGGTGCTTATCATCACTTGCCCCTCAGAGATGGCTGTGGTGTGCTCAAGGACCGTTCCCAGAGAAGTTGTCAGCCTGTTATTTCCCACTAACCCCCGCGGCTTGATCGGGCTCTTACTGTCCACTGTTCTGGGGGTAGTCACAGTGTTCTTTTCCGTTATACTCCTTGGAGAAGTCAGGATGTTTGTTTCTATTCCACTTATCTGGAAAGTTGGGGTGTTAATTATTCCCTTGAGAGTAGCTGGGGTGGTTTCCTCCACCATTCTCTTAGAGGGGTTAGTCTCCAATATTTTGGTGGTTGTCATAATTTCACTGTCCTTCACTGTTGTTCTGGGGGTGACCCCATGTCTCCTTGTCATTGTCATGAGTGTGGATGGGGCATAATTGCCTACTAGTCTACCAAGTGGAGATGGGGTGTATTTCTTCACCTTTCCCTTGGCTTGAATTGGATTGTAGCTCTGCATTTCTCCCCTGGGTGGTGGTGTTGGGGTGTAATTCTTCACTGTTGGTCTGTTTGAAGTTGGGGTGTAGTGACTCAGTACTCCACTGGGTATGGTTGTGCTGTCTCCCTTCACTCTTTCTATGTCTCCTGCTGTGTACTTAATCTTGGGTATTGTTGGAGTGATGTTGGCTGTTCTTCTGGGTGGATCGTGTGTATTCTTCATTGTTATCCCAGGTGTTGCTTCACGAACCCTGCCCACCGTGGCTTGGGGCACCGTGGCTTGGGGCACCTCCATTTCAGAGCTAGCTCTTGGAGGGTCACTGCTCACCATCATCATCTCATTGTCAGGGAGGTCACGGCTGGCCAGTTTTACGGAATGTTGGGAGGAGACTGCTGCCCACAATGAGGGGAGGCCCCGGGGGCTCCTCAGGTGCTGGTAGGTGGAACCGATGACCAACATTCCCAACAGGAAGAGGAGGCGACTCCAATGAAGCCGCTTTGGCCGGAGTAACCGCCTCTCCCGTGCCCCCATTCTGATCAATTTCCCCATGATGGCCAGCTATGCCTGGCTACGGAAGGCCTTTCATTCTGTCCAGGGAAAGAGGGGGTCTGTTCTGGGATTCAGGTTAGTGATCAGTGAAGAATTCTCCATGAAGCCCAGCCAGGGGGTATCCACAAACCTGCAGGGGGAAAAAAGAAGAGGTTATTTGTCCCTTATGAGGAGAGCTGAGAACCATCAAACCATCATCTAGAAGAGTGGACCTTTGTGCTAGGAGGCAGTTGTTTCTGCTGGGACAAAAGTACCCCTGCCACCTGTTCCCAGAGAAAAATGCCTGCTCTTGGGAAAAAGCATTAGAGGTCCTCTGTGTAGACATGCCAGCAACCAGGTTCCTGAGCTGGGACTACCTAATCCTCTTTGGGATCCCTGCAAGAGGTCTGCCAGTGTCCCCCAAGTCCAAGCCTGACATACTGGGAGCTCAGTCATCCATAGTTGGTGCCCCAGGCCACAGATCTCACCTTGTCAAAGGCAGAGGAAGGGAAAGATTTTAAGCTTCAGACAAAAACAGGCAGCAGTGGAAGGCAGCGCTGGGAACTCAAGTCTCTGTTGGTGATTTTTTATTTTCTGGTTTTGGACTGACTTAAAACAATTCCACCATATCATCCAGAGAGGACAAAATCTAATGCCATAGAGCTTCCCAGACAGTGTGGTGTGGTGGGAAGAACACGGAGAATGGAGTCAAAGGCCTGGATTTCCAGCTCAGCTGCTTACTGGGTGTGCCTCCCTGGACAGGCCGAACCTCATTGCCTCCCCTTTGAAATAAGCATGATAATGTATATGTTGATTATGCAAAGAGGGTCCCTGGAAGGAGACGTGGAGAGAGGAAACTGAGGTCAGGGATCTGAGGAAGACTTACTTTTCAGTATATCCTTTTTTAAAAAATGTTTATTTTTATTTATTTTTGAGAGAGAGAGAGAGAGAGAGTAGGGGAGGGGCAGAGAGAGGGAGATGCAGAATCTGAAGCAGGCTCCAGGCTCTGAGCTGTCAGCACGGAGCCTGACTTGGGGCTCAAACCCACGGACCGTGAGATCACCATCTGAGCCAAAGTCGGACGCTTAACTGACTGAGCCACCCAGGCGCCCCACTTTTCAGTATATCATGATGTTCAGATTAACTGTTTAACCTTTTTATCCTGTGCTATTTAATTGTATTTTTTTAAGTTTATTTATTTATTTTGAGAGAGACCGGGGAGGAGTAGACAGAAAGGGAGAGAGAGAAAATCACAAGCAGGCCCTGCACTGTCAGTGCAAAGCCTGACGCAGGGCTTGAACTCACGAAACCATGAGATCGTGACCTGAGCCAAAACCACAGGTCCAACCACAGGTTGGACGCTTAACTGACTGAGCCACCCAGGCGTCACTATGGTATTTTAAACTTAAATTTAACAGAAATAACAATAGTAATACCAATATCTATCCATGTAAATACTAATAACAATACCTATGTCACAGGAATGTTGAGAGTAAAAACACATAAGGTCTACAAAAAGCATTGTAGAGAGTCAAGTGCTACGTAAGGGTTAATTTTATATAAAGGGTTAATTTTATGTAAAATTTTAATTTTCTAATCTTATACAAAGGTTTATTTTATATTCTTCAGGAGGGAAGAAGAACGTGAAGGGCCCTCATAAAATGCTCAATTTATAAAGAACTAAATATTCATTAAATCTCTATTTAGTGTCCACAGATTATTATAAAACAATAGCTAGAAATGGTTGGGTTTGCATATAAAGTAATATATTAGAAGACTCTAATATATTAGAGTCTAGACTAATAGACTCTTAGGATGTTAAAGGTAGACTCTGCTAGTGCATAGCAGAGCAGGTGAGCCTTCTAATGCCCCATTCTTTCCAGCATACCATGCTAACTAGAGATGCAAATGCATTTATCTTTTTTTTTTAATTTGTTAATGTTTATTTATTTTTGACAGAGAGACAGAGAGAGAGAGAGAGAGAGACAGAGCATGAGCGGGGGTGGGGTGGGCAGAGAGAGAGGGGGAGACAGAATCTGAAGCAGGTTCCAGGCTCCAAGCTGTCGGCACAGAGCCTTACGCAGGGCTTGAACTCACAGGCTGCAAGATCATGACCTGAGCCGAAGTCAGACGCTCAGCCAACTGAGCCACCCAGGCGCCCCATCAAATGCATTTATCTTAAAAACCAAAACGGGGGCGCCTGGGTGGCTCGGTCGGTTACATGTCCGACTACGGCTCAGGTCATGATCTCATGGTTCCTGAGTTCGAATCCTGCATCGGGCTCACTGCTGTCAGCGAGCTTCGGATCCTCTGTCCCCCTCTCTCTCCCTCTCCCTCCCCACTCCCTCTCTCTTTTGCCAAAATAAACATTAAAAAAACAAAACAAAAAAGGAGCAAGCTAAAGGAGCAGTACAGAATAAGCGAATTTCCTTCTCTGTCCTTGATTCCTGTAACTGTATTTCCACCATCTCCCTGTAGCCGCCCTGTCCCTTGCCAGACGCTCAACTCCGTAGCAACCCGCTTGACTCTCCTCAAGACCTTTGGAGGGTCTTCCTATTCCTGGTGTGCCTGTGTTGTATAACAGAGCTGAGCTGGCACCCCAGCTGATCCCTCCTACCTAAGCACATCATTTACCTTCAAACCTGGACATCTGAGTGTCTTCTCAGTTCTGGAAACTTGTCAGAACCCAGGGTCTCAAAGAGTGAGTCTGAAGCTGGACAGCAGGGCACACCCCATTCTCCTGTCCCCAGCTCCCCTATGGAATCCTAATTCAAAGCAGGGTCGGGTGTGAAGGGCATCTCAGGGAAAGAATATCCGATCCCTGCTAATACCCACCTCTAAGAAGCTTATCAAGGCATTGTGCAAGTTCTGGGTCCCAGTGCCTCTGCCAGAGCCTGAGAGGGTGGACCTTTCACCCGGGAAAGAGATGGGCTCTCTAGTGGCCCCCTGCAGTCAACAGGGAACCGGGGGAAACTTCTCAAACTTGGCTCTAAGC